GTGTTCAGGGTCTCACTACTAAATCAGACTTATAGGGATCTGCCTCCCAAGAGCTGGGATTACAGGCATGTGCCACCTCACCCAGTCTCAATTGCTGTCTCAGTGAGCCCCGGGGTCAGGGCCAGCACAGCAGGCCCAGGGATTGAACCCGCCAGCCCCTGTGCCTGTTTTCAGGTGCTTTAATCCGCTGAGCTATTTAGCTGGACCTTCGAGCCCTTTTGTAAATTCATTTTTTATTTTGAGGCAGGGTCTGGCTAAGTCTCAGAGTTGCCCAGGCTGGGTGGAAACTTGCAATCTTCCTGCCTCAGCCTCCCAGACTACAAGAAATACAGGCATACCCTACCATGCCTGGCTCTGGCATCTTTTTTTTTTTTAATTTTTTTTTAACATTTATTTATTGGGGGGGCAGCTCAGCCCACCAGGGGGCGCAGCTGGCTGGCATGTGGTGCTGGGGGATAGAACCGTGGTCCCTGTGCTTTGCCAAGCTTGTTCTAAGTAGGTGCTTTAGACCACTGAGCCATCTCTCCAGCCCTGGCATCTTGATTAATAGGAAGTTATGAGCTCTTACACTGCTGAGCCTTTGAACAGGCTGTGGCTGTGGCTATGAACACATCTCTCCACATTTGGCTGATTCCTTTCTTCCCTCAGGGCTGGTATCCCTTGAGGTCAGCCTATCCCTTCCCCTGCTAAGGCAAGTTCTTCCTGCAAGGTGCCCCCTGGGCCACAGTAGTTCTGCTGTCGCCTTTGTTCTGCTCAGTCACCTGTTCCTGCCTAGGGTCCCTCCAGGCTGTGCATAGAGTCCAAGCTCACCCTCTCACTCAGCACTCTCCAGCAGAGCTTCCCTGCACGACCACCCACCGCAGCATGTGTGCTGCTACTTTCTAGTTTGCTGCTGTTTTCATTTGAAACAGGATCTCGTCTCGTATAGTTCAGGCTGGCCTCAAACTCTTGGCTAACCTCCTGCTTCAGCCTTGGGGTGCTGGTGACACTTCAAGCTTTGCTGTAAATAAAGCTATGAGGCTTTGCTCTGACACAAGGAGATGCATGGGCGCTGGAGAAAGACAGCAGACCAGCCTGTGGCACAGTTTAGGGAAGATGTTTAGAGTAGGAATCCCTGTTGGATTGTTCCTGTCTTACAGTGCTGAGTTCTGTCTGCTCGTGCTGTGTTTAGGGTCTGTTTCATGTACTGCGATGACAGCGATCCAAGTTTGCTGTCATGGTGCTCACTTAATCTTGCTGGTGGCATGATAGTTTTATTAAGTGAGTTGAACAGCTTCCCTTCTGCTTTGATGCTTCAGAAAAGTCTGTATAAAATAGCTAAAACGGTGCCGCATGAAAGAGGTCTTAGCTTTTTTTTTCATTAATTTTATTAAGAAAAAAATAGCAATAAGACAGTTTCAAAACTGAAGTTCTGCTTCCTGTGGCCTTTTTCCAGGCAGATCACAGAGCATTGTCTCAGTCTATAACTGTTCCTCTATTCAAAGTTTCTTTTTTGTATCCAGTTTTGGGCAGTTTTTCCTTGACTGATACAAACAACTCTTAAGACTTGCCTTAGCTGGGCATGGTGGTGCACACCTGGAATCCCAGCCTCTGGGAGCCAAGGCAGGAAGATCAAAAGTTCAAGTCCCTTCCGGCAACTTGTTGACTTGCTGACACCCTGTATCAAAATAAAAAATAAAAAGGCCTGGGTTCAGTCTCTGGTACTGGGGGGGAAAAGGCATTACAGGTTTTGATCCTTTCTGTTATTTTATATCCCCACCATCTGTTTCAGGTTTTCCTGTCTTGTTGCTTCGAAGAGTAAAACCAACCTCTGCTTGTGGACAGTGTCGAGTAAGCTGGTCCAGCAGGATGGAGCAGGCACGGCTAGTGATAAGCAGGCCTGAGAAGGCCTCGAGCTACATGAAAGCACCCAGCCGGCCCACACCATACAGCTCCAGCCCCACCTGCCCTGGCTGCTCTCTACAAGGCCTGGCCCTGAAGCTTCCTGCGTGAGAGTGTGTGAGAGAGGCTGGCTGGGGGGACAGACAGTGTGTGACAGAGGCTGGCTGGGGGGAGAGACAGTGCTTTTAAAATTCTGTTTGTAGAAATATCACTAACTTGGAAGCGAGGGAACACACTGTCTTCCAGCGGAGAACGCTGAGGCAGAGGCTTCAGCAATTGCACAGTGGATCAACTGTGCTGCCCCGCCCATCGTCTGTCATCTGTCTGTCCCTTCTCAAGGAATGCTCCTGAGACGCAGAGCTTTGGCAGCGCGGGCACCTGCCTGCTTGGGGGCTCTCAGCATGCCTTTGCACTCCAGTAGAGGCCCACTCTCTCAGTGACTCAGGCGGCCAAGGGCAGGTGCTGGGCTTTGGGACTCTTCAGAGCGGTCTGTGCAGCACCTGCTTTCAAGCAACAATGAAAATGAAGTCTGCTTGCAGGAAGGAGGAGACAGCAAGAAACGTAAAGCAGATGTGGCTGGGCTGAGTAGGAGCTGGACAGGTGGAAACGCTGTATCCTGGCAGGAAGTACCTGTGCCCTGCTCCGCACTGGAGGCAGGGCGCAGGACTGGGGAGACATCCGAAACAGGTACAGGAAGGAGCTTAAAAAGAGCAGTATGATTCTGTTCATAGGAGGTGCCGGGAGAATGCTAACCTAGAGGGACAGACAACACCAGGCACAGTGCAAAGCAACCCAAGGGAGCTTTCGGGGGTTATGGGTAAGGTTCTAAATTGGATTGCAGCATTTATGTTCTGTGGAGAATCACTTAGGCTGCTTCACAGCTCAGGGGCAACTAAGGACACCTGAGGAATTGACCCCACTTGTCTAGTGAAGGCATGCAGTGGGGCACAGTTATGTAACCTTAGCACAGGGAAACATGCATGCATTGGTTACAGCACTGTGTAAGAATGCAAACATGAAGTAACAACCTGTATAAGAATTCTACGATAGGACGAGGGAGATAGCTCAGTGGTCTAAATGCCTGCCTAGCAAGCACAAGGACCTGAGTTCAATCTCTGGTATCATATGCCATGCTGGGCCTACGCCAGCCACTGAAATGGGGTGTGGTGATGCACGCCTGTAATCCCAGCACTGAGGAGGCTGAGACAGGAGGATCACTAAGAGTCTGAGCTGTGTAGCCAGACCCTGTACCAAATAAATAAATAGAATTCTACAGTAAAGATGCAGGAAGCTCTTGCCCTCTTAGACCCTTGTGTTCTGCCCTGCTCCATGCTGCCTGCTATTTTTGCTAATGTCTTTCACCCCTGTGTTCTGCAACCTTCGGACCTTACCCTCGAAAATCTCCCTTGGTGCCCCTGAGTGGGTCAATACAGTGTAACTTAATTTGCTAAGAATTGTGTACATCTTTTTTTTTTTTTTTTTTTTTTAATATTTATTTTGTGTGTGTGTGTGGCCAGCTCAGCCCACCAGGGGGCGGGGCTGGCTGGCATGTGGTGCTGGGGGATTGAACCACGGTCCCTGTGCTTTACTTAGCTTAGCTTGTTCTAAGTAGGTGCTTTAGACCACTGAGCCATCTCACCAGCCCCAGAATTGTGTACATCTTTAATGTGCAAAAATTATATAAATTATACATCAAAAAAGCTTTTTAAAAAAAGTGAAATCAGATTCAAATGTGAAAGGCTATAATGTGTAAGTAGAATTTATTTACTGTTTGGTTTTCCAGGCATAGTCTTGCTATGTAGTTCAGACTGGCCTTGAACTCAATTTGATCCTTGTGCCCCAGCCTTTGGAGTCCTGGGGTTGCCGGTGTGCGCCACCATGCCCAGCCCCTGTAGTAGCATTTATAAACTACAAATTTACATCAAATGCACACTGTGGTCAAGCTCACTGGACACCAGAGTCTTCCTCGGGTGCCGCAGGGTGGGAGTAGCTTTGTCTCTTCCCTCTGCATATCCAGCAGCTCTCACAGAGCTCTACTGGCCCAGCCTTTGTGGAGACTGTGTTTCCTCTCTCAGCCTCCCTCCTTCCCGACCCAGCTGTTCTCTTTCCTTTGGAGCCCTTGCTCACAGAATGGAAGAGTACTGGAAAGTACTTTCACTTCATGTGAATTTCATGTTTACTGTGCTCCTGCTGTTGACCAGGCAATTGCAGTCTGAAATACAGGTGCTAGCACACAGCTGTCAATCAGTTTTCTTTATTTGATGTTTTATGTTGTGCTGTAGTTGGCATTGAGTCCAGGCCCTTGACACTGAACTACAACTCCACTCACACCCCCTTTCAAATATTTTTACTTATTTTGAGACAAGTCACCAAGTTCCCCAGGCTGGGCTTGAAACTTGCAATCCCATAGTTACTCCGTCTCCCAGAGTGCTGAGATTGCAGGCCCGGCGCCCCCTGCCTGTCTCTCAGCCTTTGGTGGGATGCTCCGGGCAGGCAGCAACTCCTGAAAGAGAGGCGTTTATTCTACAGCCAAGGAAAAGCAAGAAGCTAAAGGCAGGTGAGGCCAGATGTTTGCTGCGGTTTCCCTGCTTAGTCTTTACCCCAGCAGAAGCGTCGTCCTCTGGGTTCAGGCCGGGAGGGGTCACCGCGGGGAGAGAGTTCCCACTTGTTGCAGTGTTTGCCAACTACACCAACCCTCTTCCACAATCAGCAAATAAGAATTCAGGATTCCCAGTAAAATCTGCATTCTAGACAAACAACAAGTAGACTATCCCAGATATTTTAGCGAAATAACCCGAAAAAGGCTGGGGACATAGCGCGAAGGCTCCCCCTACTCCTACTGTGACCGTGGAGCGTCCGCCTTACGTGCAAAATGTTGCTTCTCTAAAACTGAAAATAACTGGGCGGTCGGGTGTCACCTCACAGTCCTTTTGCAGAGCAGGGTGAAAGCTTGCTTGGGACGCTTTCCTTTTCCGCTTCTTTTTAGAAACAAAAGTCTCCAAGCAAAACGTCGGTTTCCTGCTGTTAAGAAGACTGAGTTCCGGTTCTTTACCTCCTCCAGCTAAAATGCGTTTCAAAGGAAAAACCGGTTCCTCAGAGGGAGGGGTCAGCCCAGAGTCGGACCAAGCCACATGCACACCTGCGGCCCCGGTGGGGCCAGCGGACACCCTCCTGTTTCAGCCTTCCCGCCCAGTCGTCCCAGGCGCTGTCCCCACCCGGCGGTGCAGGGGGCCGGTGGAGCAGGAGGACCGAGCGATAGGGCGCGGCCTCGGTGGCTCGTGTGGACACGCCCTCGGTCCCGCCCGCTCCTCTTCGGATCTTGCGCGGGACCAGACAGGATGCTGGCGCGCGGGCGGCTGCGGCTGCCCGCGACCCCCAGAGCCCAGGTGCAGGTAACGGGCCAGGCCAGGGCGAGGGCTGGGCCACTTCGCGGGTCCACGCAGGCCCGGGTCCACGCTGGGTGAGGGCGACAGTCCCGCGCCGACGTCCCAACGCGGTGGCCTCTCCATCCTGCACGCGGAGCCCTCCCAGTGTTAAAAAGGGAAGAGAAGCTCGCGTGCGTTCGTGATGGGGGTCACGAGTGTGCGCCACGCGTGCTAGAACAGGACACGCTCGTGTGTGTGTGTTTGTGCGCGCGCGTGTGCACCACGCCGACCCAGGAAGCCCGCGGGAGCTGAGGAAATGGGATGTGACGCCTGGCAGCCTCTGAAAAGAGCCTCGCTTCTGAGCCTGGTTTTCCCCACCATCAGATTAGTTTCAGATTTCTAAGGAGAAAAATGTTTAATGTTTGTCTTTCAGCTCCACAGTGTAAAAAGAGAGCAAAAAGTGAGCTAAGATTCCCGGGCGGTGCGGTTTCACTTCCTATTTCTTTTGTAGTTCGCTAGCTTCGGTTTGTCTTTTGTGTGTCCTTGTTTTTCTCCCTCCAACTGTCTCGAGGCTTCGCGTTTGGATTAACGCAGGGAATATTTCAGTGCATTTTTAAATGTTTTGCCCAAGGATTGGAAAGCAGATAGAGAAGGCTGTTGTATTACTGGTGCCAAGAGAGGGGAAGCCAGGCGTGGTGCGCACCTGTGGCCGAGGATTTAGGAGGAGGATTTCGAGTTCCAGGAGAGGTTAGGCATTGCGTGACTTGTGAAGACCCTGGTGTGGTGGTGATCCTGAAGGGAAGGGCTGGGCTCCTTCTTGGCACTCCAGCCGTCACTTCCAGCTCACCCCAGCCTCAGGGCACAGGCCTGCACTGCTCTCTCTGCTCGGCTCTCCCAGTCCTGCTCAGCCTGGAACCGGAGGCTCTGGGCTTCCCTGACCGTGGCTGCAGCAAGACTGGCTTCTGTGCTAAGCAGGACTGGGGCTGGGGCTCAGGGCAAAGCCCTGGATTCAGTCCAGGAGAAAAGGGTGAGCGGAGACTGCTTAAAATGTAAAATGATCAATTTCCTAAAATAGTGGGGAAGAGAGGCTTTTTAATAATTGTACCTTTTTTTTTTTTTTTTTTTTGGTGGAACCGGGAATTGAACTCAGGCCGTTGTGCTTGCCAGGGAAGCGCTTATTCCACTGAGCCATCTCCCCAGCCCCCAAATTGTACAATTTTAAGAATGGCCAATGTGACATTTCAGTCCTAGGCATACACAGCCCTGGGAACCCCTTCTTCACTTCTCATTTCAGTGCAAATGATTGCTTGCTGTTAGACCTAACTGTTCTGTGCTGCTGGGAAGGAGCCCAGGCCTCAGGCAGCAGGGCAGCAAAGCAAGCCCCCTGCCCAAGGGAGCCCTGTGACTGGGCCTGGTGAGGCATTTCCATGCTCCAGCGCTGGTTGCCCCGCTGCCAGTCCTTTCCCCATGCTGCTGTCTGGTGCTGTGCAGAGTGCTGTGGCTGCTGGCCTGCCCTAGCAAGAAGCCTTATAAAAGGAGAGAGTGATGGGCTTGTCAGGGCTGGGTAATAATAGGACCCGACAGTTAGAGTCCAGTTCCAGTGAATCATGTGAAGCCCTTGAAGCTTTCTGATTTGCAAGGTACTGTAAGTCAGCTGTCCATGCTGAAGACAGCTTGCTCATCTTGAGAGGTGGAAAGGATCCTTTTTACCTGCCTGGTAACATGTATCCCCCACAAAAGCAAACCTGTTAGTTTGCCTGATTTAATTTTATTTGTGTATTTGATATAGGATCTCACTATGCATTATTCTTCTGTCTCAGGCTCCCCAGCACTGGGATTATAGGCATGCGCCACCATGCCCACTTTAGGACCAGCAGGGCATGAGGTACCTGGGATCAAACCTGAGTGCTTGCTCTTGCCAGGCAGGTGCTTAGACTGCTGAGCTATCTCCCCAGCCCCTACTTTGCCTGTTTATAGGAAGCTTTAAAATCTAAGTATGAAAAACAAGTATCTTTGTCTTTTAGGAGGTCCAGTTAGGACTACTAAACCATTTTCTGCAAATCAAATTACATTGCTGGGCATTTTTCTTTCTTTCTTTTTTTTTTTTTTTTTATTTTGGCTGAACAGGCCATTAAACTCTGGCCCTTGCGCTTGCCAGGGAGGCGCTTATTCCACTGAGCCATCTCCCTGGCCCCTGGAGGGACATTTTTCAATCTGAGGTCTTCCTGTTGTGTGGTTGTCCCACTTGGTAGAAAATGTCCTGTGGTTCAGGATTAGTACTGTTTAATATAATCTACCTTATGTATGTTTGCCTATAAACATTCAGACTCCTGAAGCCTTTGAAAGCAGCTGGGGGAAAAAAGGTGGTTGTGACCTCACTGCTCTAAAATACCAGCTTGCAGGGACTTGTCAGGAGTAGCATCTCAAGCTGTCCCCATTGTAATTGGTGTTTTCTAAAATTATGGGTGTGCTTTCTGAAAGCACTGAAAAAATTTGAAACATGTACTGCTCTCCTCCTCCTATGGTAGGTGGATAATTATCTGTTTTGTGGGTTTGGGGGAGAAAAAAATCCCAGCTTATTGACACAGATGTGTCAGTGTAGCAGAACTGTTCTGAACACACTTAGTCATGAGCTAAGAGAGCCTGGGCATGGCGCATGGCGCGTCACCTCGGACTACATCTCCCACCAGCAGTCGCTGAGCGGGGTGATCCGTGGCTGCTGCTGCTGCTGCTTCTGTGGGCCAGGATGCTGCTTCGAATGATAAAGGTTCCTGGTGAATGATGTCTACACAGAAAATGGTCTTGCCTGGTTGTGCCTTTCTCAGTTTGGGGTTTGTGCTACCTAGACCAAGAAAGCCCAGATGATACGATTTTGTTCTCCTAACACAGCACTCCCATAAGCTGTGTTTAAAATGCAGAAGCCAGGCATATTCTGCAGAGAGGCTTAACAATCAAGCGTGCTTTTTTTAACTCACAGAGACAAAGCATATGGCTGTCTTAATTCACAAGATGTTAACTTAGTGTTGTTGAGCAGATCTTGCTTGATACTTTCCTGCTCCTCTGGCCCCGGCATTTGCATTTGGTGCATCTGTAATTCTGGGTTCAGTGCTCTTCCAGAAAGAGAGCAGTTGGTTGCGTTAGGATCGTAACCTGCACTAGACAAAAGACACTGGTGTTTAGTCTCCAAGTAATTCTAGACCAGTTTGTCTGCTAAATATTAGGCATTGCCACATTCCCACCCCTGAGCAATTAGTGCCTTTTAAAAACAATTTTATTTTTTATTCACTATTATTAAATAGTATTTGTGCTGTTTTATAGCAAACTCTAAGCCAGGAGAGGGTTTGGTAGCTCAGCAGATATGTATTTGTTGCATGAGGAACCTGTGAAACTCAGGCAGAGATGCGAGGCTTAGTGTTGGTTGATCTGACATCTAGTATAGAACTTGCTCAGGTCACGGGATGCTAACGAGCCCTGGAATTAGCTGGTGTTCAACAGGCACTTGGGGCAGCTGAGCGTCACTGCTGTGCCACCACTTAGCTCTGTGAACATAGCAGTCGTTCCGTTTATTTGGGGCTGTTCTTTTCAATGTCCCCTTTAAAAAAAAAAAAAAAAGAAAGAAAGAAAGAAAAGAAAAGAAAACCTTCTTCTGATTGGTTTTAAAAGGTCTTTCTGTCTTGAAAATATCATTTTGTTGTTTTACCAGAGGGTGTAAATACACCTTTGAACAATTGCCATTGTCAAAATTGTTGTTGCCATAGCGATTGAAACTTTTCTTACCTAGACAGTTTATCGATTGGCACTTTTACATAGCAGTTGTAATAGCTATTTTCCCTTTCAAATGAAAGTGAAATTTAGTTGATAAGGTTAGCATGTTTCCATGGAATAGATTCTCTAAGACATTCAATCATCTGTGTTTTGGTCTATGAGATGTTGCTTGCTCAAGAGTATTTAGAATTAAGATCTTAAACTGTTAATAGGTATTTTAGGTGCACCTGCATGCATAGACCAGCACATAATGGGTGCAATCGCTAAAAAGATCAATCGTATTCTAGAACAATGCTTTTTTTGTCCCATTCAATTTACAGGATATAATTTGCATGGTTTTTAAGCAAACATCAGCTCCCTGAGCTGTGCATTTAAATTTATGACACGGGATCCCCTGCCCAGGGGCTCCGATTCTCTCAGTGCCAGAGCAACTCTGGGAAGCACTGCGCTCACCAAAGGTGCCCCAGGAGACCGAAGGAAGGAGGGTTCAGGATACAGTGAAATGGAGCTCAGTGCTGGATTCCCACTCACCTCTACAGGGTGTGGGAGACCTAGGTGGCATTCAGGGTGTGGGAGACCTAGTTGGCATCCATATGTGTCTGGCATTTGTGGTTTTAGTTTCAGGACCTCTTTTTTTTCTCTCTACTCATAAGGTTATCCATTTTTCTGTGATTACCTTTCAATGGGAAAAAGTGATATGTAAAAAAGTTTTGAGAAATTCAGTACTTCAACACTTAAGTATTTAAGCAAATAGCATGTATTCTCAGCAGTAAATTGTGCAAGTGTCACAGACTGGTCCCAAGTTAGAAAGTCCTGTTCAGTTGTCAAGACCTGTGAGTCCCTTTACTCCAAGAGTTTCCAATTTCATCAGCTCCTCATTGGTGCTGATTTTACAAAATTTTACCCAAAAGTAAGAGGAAAGCATTGCAGCCTAACATTAGTGGTTTTTTTTTTTTTCTTTTGCAGTTCCGAGGGAATTAGATTTCTATGATTCACAATAATGATGAGAAATGATGGATAAAATCTGTAGTATAAACAGTATCCATTGAAGAGAACTTCTTTGAATAGCTGTCAGGGTAAGAAGCAGGCCATCATGGCAGAGAGCAGGGTATGGGGCTAGAGCAGGAATCTCCATAGCCTACAAGCAGAAACAAAAGGAGCAGAAGACAGTGACCCTAATTGGGCCTGGGAAGACGGCTTAGTGGAATAAGCGCTTCCCTGGCAAGTGCAAGGGCCTGAGTTCAATCCCTAGTTCTAAACAA